GGTTTCTTAAGTTGAATCTGTATGTAAGTCGGAACTGGCGTCCAGATTCAGCGGCTGTTGAAACTGATCAATTTCAGCAGCGGCTGATGCCAGTTCCGACTTACATACAGATTCAACTTAAGAACAAACCTACAGTCCCTATCTTGTACATAACCCGGGGACTGCCTGTATTAGTAGCACCCATCCAGTTCTATCAACAATGAAAAGATTTGAAAACTTTCCCTAATATAGACTGAACTAAAATACCCTCTTGGCTGTTGAAACTGATCAATTTCAGCAGCGGCTGATGCCAGTTCCGACTTACATACAGATTCAACTTAAGAACAAACCTACAGTCCCTATCTTGTACATAACCCGGGGACTGCCTGTATTAGTAGCACCCATCCAGTTCTATCAACAATGAAAAGATTTGAAAACTTTCCCTAATATAGACTGAACTAAAATACCCTCTTAATACTATATTTCCTGAACTTGACAGTTTACAACTATTCACAGACACCCTCCTCTTTCAGACATGTTGATTGCTGAAAGACCATATTTAGAAATGTGAGTGGCTGGTTAAGGTTTCCAGATATTGCTAAACTGCAGAGCCTTTTTAAGCACTGGTTTGTGTGAAAGATTACATGGAATGCAAGTGAGAACAAAATGCCAGTTCTTGAATTGATTATATGTCCTTAAGAAAAGAAAAGCTATGATAATATGCTTACTTCCTCTTTCTTGCTATTGGTTTTGAGTAAATAGGTTTTTTTTATTCCCACAGCAAGCTGCAGGATTTGAATTTCAGACAGTTCAGTAAGATATTTCCTTCTGCTTTGAGAAAGAAACAAGAACTGAGGTAAGATAAAGCTAAATTTATTTATATATATGTTTTACTTCATTTTTTTTCTTGTGGATCAATAGTATTCAAAATAAGAGTGGGGGAATTTTAGTTATCACCTGTTTGTTGCAAAGTTTTGTAGTTGCTAGAAAAATTAAGCATCTGTTTAATTCATCTATGTTAAAGCTAGTCAAGGGTGCTTTCCTTAAAGTGATATCCATGTAAAATTCTGTAATTTAAAAATATTTTGGCATATGAAAGATGATAAACTTAGGGAAGAGCTGAACAAGTGAATTTCCTTTGCTTTGTACTAGCAGCCAACTGCAGATTTTAACAGTAATCCATAGAGGGTGGAGATTTTGTTTGGGTGTTGAAAGAGTGAATAAAGAGTCATACATGTCCTGACAAATGCCTAATTTAATTAGTACAATGTTAATTATAGGTGAAATATAAATGAATAATGTTTTGGTAGTTCTGATCTTGGTAAGATACGTGGTATTCCAGTGAATGAAGACTTGGCAGGCTGTTCAATGTTATTTTGGTTTTCTGACAGTGCAATGGCTAATGCAAATAATATAACATTAACTAAGTTCAGGCAACACTGCGTGTCTTACAATGGTGCAGCGGTGCCACTACAGCCATGGGGTACACACTAGCTGCTCTTTGTTGTCATGAGAGAGATCTGCTGCCAGTGAAGTGCTGTCTACACCATTGTTTTTTGTCATTAAAACTTTGGTCCTTGAAGGGAGTGGGTTTTTTATGCCTCTAAGCGACAAAAGTTTTTTTTAACAAGTTAAGTGCAGTGTAGGCATAGTACATGACATTGCTACGCTGATAGTTCTTATTAGCAGATCTTATTTGGGCAAAATATATTTTGATTAAACTGTACTTAATCGTGTTGAGAAATTCATTTAGCAATGTGTACCTTGCACTTCTGGAAAACTGAGCTCCTAATCCTTCCTTTATAAGCATCTTGTATTAACTTGAGTTGGATTTGTGGATGTTCTGCACCTTTGAAAATCAGACTAGAAATATTTAGATTTGTAATATGCATACCACTGTAACCTACCCAATTCAGAATATTCGTTTCTATTAAAACATGGTGTGAAGTTACTTTCTATTGTATTGAGATCTTAATACTACTAGCTTTTTTATTAGATGCATTAAGATCTAGTCACCTACTTGAATAGGGGCTTATGAATGGTGGAAGTCTGGGAAAGTGTTGTTTTGGTGTCTTTGTCTAATTTGTGTGTGTGTGGTGAGTGGAATTTGTCATTCATTATTTTGTTTACACTAATCCTGATCTCACTAAGATCAGTGTAAATCTGAAAAGACATTAGCAAAACAAATTTTCACTAAAAAATGCAATTTAGGAAACCTTGAAATCGTTGCAAAATTGTGACTTTTACCAAAAAAATGTTTGACAGAAAATCTTGTGGTTTTTTTTTTTTTCAAACGTATAGTTGCACTCAGGGTTTTCCTGTGGCCTGTTAAGTATCTGAAAGCATATTGGTACAGTTTAGCCACATTCCCCTAATGATTGAAGGTTTGTTGGTGGCTATATCTGTAAGCAGAAAAAGCAGACTGGTTCTTTTTGCATTAAGGGCTTTTGGGGCGGAGTCCCCCAGAACAGCAGGTAACGGGAACTCTTTTTCTCTGAGCCCAGTAAATACCTGTGGTGGCTCTTCTGCTTTGTGATGCAGTAACTGAATATACATCACCCCTAGGAAGCCGGGTTGCCTTTCCCTGTCCTTCTCATTTTGCAAGATGAAAAGAGGGACCAGACCGTATGCAGTCCCCGAAAAATAGAGGATTTTTTTCTGATGCTACTAAGCTGAGTCTGAGAGTTGTGTTAGTGGATTTGGAATATATCAGCTTGCTGCTTGCAATGCCGTATTCTTGTGTGGAGCCCTTCATTCAGGCTGTGAAAAAAAGAGCAATTTTCCAGAAGTGGTATGCAGCATGAACAGCTGCAGGTAATGGTAGGGGAACCAGCAAAACACACTTTGCATGAGGCAGTCAACTCTGAAGAGGACTAATTCCCTGGGGTACAGTCAACCATTATGGGTGCTGGAGGAGGTGGTGAGGAGGAGAAAGGTGCCTCTCTCTTTAGTGCAGCCACACATGAGACTGAGGCTCAGCAGCAGGTCACTGGGCAGAGACCATTCTCATCCTCTGAAACCTTGTTCTGCTATGCTGCTTTTAGAAAATATGTTGTTGATGTTGGTTGTCATGCTCCCAGGTGGGCGGAAGGTTACTGCCTCTATCTTTGCTGGGTAAGATTTTGCTGGGAACTCCAAGAGGAAGGCGGTGCTCCTATCCTGAATTTCTGTCCGCAGCAAAAGTCACTACCTGCTACAACTCCTCCCCCCCAGCACCAGTGTCATTTGCTAGCTCTGCAAATGGAAGAGTCTGGCATGACCCCAAAGGATGAGGCTCAGAAATGGTAAATTTCCAGCACAATCACAAAGTGCACACGATGCAACCAAAAGTCTCAGAGGGGTAGCCGTGTTAGTCTGTAACTTTAAAAACAGTAAGTAATTCTGTGGCACCTTAGAGAGTAACAGATATATGTGTATACGTATATTTGTTAGTCTCTAAGGGTATGTCTAGACTACATGGCTCTGTCGCCAGAGCCATGTAGATTAGTTTACTAGACATACCCAAATGAAGCGGCGATTTAAATAAAATGGCTGCTGCGCTGAGCCGATCAGCTGTTTGTCGGCTCAGTGCGCTAGTGTGGACACTCCGCGGTCGACATCAAAGGCATTTATCAACCGCCCTGGTAAACTTCATCCCACGAGGTATAACGGGGCGGTCGACAAATGTCTTTGATGTCAACCGCGGAGCGTCCAGACTAGCGCACTGAGCCGACAAACAGCTGATCGGCTTAGCATGGCAGCCATTTTAATTTAAATGAAGCAGCGATTATTTAAATTGCCGCTTCATTTGGATATGTCTAGTAAACTAATCTACATGGCTCTGGCGACAGAGCCATGTAGTCTAGACATGCCCTAAGGGTATGGATGAAACAAAATACCCTAAGGGTATGGCTACACTAGCCACCCTAGTTCGAATTAGGGTGGCTAATGTAGTCATTCGACCTTGCAAATGAAGCCTGGGATTTAAATATCCTGGGCTTCATTTGCAAGTTCCCGGGTGCCTTCATTTTTAAATGCCCGGTAGCTCGAACTACCTGCCTGCGGCTACATGTGACACGGGCTAGGTAGTTCAAATTAACACTCTTAATTCAAACTACCGTTACTCCTCATTGCAGGTACAGTGTAGCCGTACCCTAAGGTGCCACAGGACTACTTGTTGTTTTTATGACACAACAAGTTAGCCCAGAGCTTAAAGAAAGCAAAACAACATCTTCATCTATTCCAGAGAAGAGGCTGACTGACAGCATCAAAGTTTTGCATGACTTTGGCAGCTAAATCCATCAGCCTCAATCAACAGTACCTAGTGGTCTGTGTTTAGAAGGAGGAAAACTATTAACCAGCTCATGGCTGTGAAACTGACCATGATGAACAAGGATGCTAGCTCTGGACATCTTCCCTTTCTCCTATGTGGAAGGAGAGGGTTTTGTGGCTGCAGCTGCCCCCAGGTGGTTGATCCGGAGCTGCTGTTCTTTGCAAAAAGTGCCAGCTCAGTGTGCTGCTATGAGAAATGCAGTATGGTGTAGCTTGGGTAGGCATGTGCAGCAGAGCACTGACACGTGGACCAGCAGAAAGGTAGCTTCCCACATGGCTGTTATGATCTACTATATGAGTAGCAGCAAGAAGACTAGCAGCAGCACTGTCACATATTCCCCGGGGGTGCTGCAACAGTTGTTTACAGTGGGGGTGCAGAGAGCTGTTGAATTAAACTGGAAACCCTGTATAGAATGGAGACCTCTTCATTTCCAGGGATGCTGCAGCACTCTCTGTACTCCTAATTCCAGCATGTATGCATATACCCTCCCCCAAAAGCATGCTATGTGTTGGGTTTCTGTGTTAGAAAAACAGCACACCTTCTAGAACATCTGAGCTACCCTGTTCTGACATGCTGTGATAGAGGGGGGGATAAGGCTTCCCCACCTCTCTGCAGTGTCTGTGGCAATGGGCTCTGGAGTAAGTTATGGGGTGTAGGGTGCTGACTGCTAGTGTGTCCTCTGCTCTGTCTGGAGAGGGAATTTCTGGAGGAGGCATGAAGAGTTGCAGGCACTGCTCTCAGTGGTCAGTAAGCTATGTGGCCCCTTTGGACAGTCCAGTGCAATGTGTCACAGTCTTAAAGAGCAGCAGGGGTCACACCACTGTTGGGACACTCCATTTCCCATGCTGGAACAGCGCTATGGGCAGCATGCAAGCATTCTGCATCCATAAAACTGAGGTGAGGGCAGACACATCCGCCTCCACTTGTAACCAACCTGCTGACATCCTGTGGCACACTGGCCTCACACTTGGTCAGTAAGGATATCACTGAGATGCATGCAGACCTATTTCCAGGAACCGGTGACATCGCTGGGAGAGGTATTACAGGAAATTACTGGGGCAAGTCATGCTGACTACTCTTCGAGGAAATTGCCCTCTTCAAAGCATGAGGGGAAATGCTGCTGGGTGACAAGATATCTAACCTCCCAGTTCTCTCCTCTGAGCAAAGAATGAGGAGGGAATATGGCATTTGAAAAACAGACTGATGGATGTAGCAAACGTTTGTCCTGCTTTTAATGTATGGGTCTGGATGATTAGGGATGATTTTAAAAAATTCCCATTTGTAGTTATGGAAAATGCTCTCCTAAATCAAATGTTTGGAAGTGAGCAACTGACTCCATAACTGCATCTGTAGAACCATTTTAGGTGCATAACAAAGGAGTTATCAAGCACCCCCCATGCACCCACCCAAGACAGGAGGATGTGGAATTCCATAGCATGATGGTGGTGTAGTAGGTATATAGTTGAGGGCGAGCAGTGATATTATGGCCCTGTTTTCCAAGTGTACCTCTTTGATCAGGAGCTGCCAGCAGCAACAAGGGCTGGGTTCAATATATAGAGGTTTCTTTCAACTGATCCAATACAGAACCAACCTGAGCCCCCGCTCAGTACCTTGGGAAATTCACAGACCATTCCTGGGTACCTCCAAGAGGCAATACTTTCCCACTCGCAAGCAGAGTCTTAGTGTAGAAAAGAAATGTTTAATTAAAGGAGGGAAGTAACTCGGTATTTATTTGGGAAAGCACTACAAATGGGGTTCGTAAACATAAACCATGTGTAAAAGACCAACCCCCAAGTAAGTGGACAATGCCCTTTTCTCTTCTGGTTCTTACATTCAGCAACCCAAAAAGTCCCTTTCATGTGCTGATCCTTCTCTGCACCCTACTCACTGTCTTTGGTCAGTTCAGATCCAGAGTTCTGGGGTACATCTGCAGAAGTCACCTCTCACCATGAGTTATGGGGGGAATAGAAGCACCTTCCTTGCTTCACTACCAGCTATCTATTCACCATTCTTGTTGCATTTCTCCTTCAGCCACCTTGCTAGCTACTCATCATGTCTCTCCACCACTTCCTTGTTGGCTGCTCATTGTGCCTGCTGATTGCCAGTGATCTGCTGCCACCTGCTTCTCTGCTGTGACCTCTACATATCAGTGTCAGTAATTTTCAGCCCTTTGCAGACTGGGCAGAAGCACTCTTCCATCTCAAGAGATTTTTAGCTCTCAGTGATTCTCAGCTCTGGGCAGGCCAGGCAGACACACTGTCCTACATCAACTGGTTTCAGCTCTAATTGAGTAATTAAAATAACTGAGAGGCTCCTAATGAGGCCTGTTGAACTCTATTCTTTGAATAGTGGGGAGGAATAGCTGAACCAGTCTAGAGAGGTGTGACGGACCGGGCCTGGCCTACGCACAGCTGAGGGCGTCCGCTATGGGTGAATTGCTCAAACTTGGGGCTCCTTACCACCCCTGACTGGAGGCCCTTCCCAAAGAGGCCACAAACCAGTCCCACAGAGCACTTCAGCTGCCTATCTGGTCATCCAGAAGCCTCACAAGCAAAACCCCTCTGACACCCTAGCTCTCTCTGAGCCCCAAATAGCCCCAGGCCTAACACACAGGTGAGGGGTTATAGGACCCAATCTCACCTACCCCGAATGGGTTCTCCAGTCCCAAGAAACCAGCAACAGTTCCCAGGTCAATTTATACTCTGGATCTTACCCACAAGACCACGCTGAGCCAGTCCTTTAGAATCTAAAATCTAAAGGTTTATTACTAAAAGAAAGAAAAGCATGAGAGTAAGGTTGTTAAAGGATAATACATTACAGTTCTAGATGCAGACTCTTAGCAGAGATGTTATAACTGCTAGCTTAAAAGTCTCTGGTGTACATCCTATGTCAGGATGGGCCCACAGTTCTTTCCGGCTCATGGTTCCCTGCAGTGCTGCCTCTGGGATCAAGAGCTGAGCTGAAGACCAAGATGGAGGGTGCCACATGGCATTTTTATATCCTTTCCTCGGCTCTTCCAAGCTGGTGAGAGTCACATGATCAGTGGCCATGTGTGTTTGGCCTTTGGAGATCCATTGTCCTTGGAGCCTTGATCATTAGCATATCCATTGGCTGAGCATTCCTCGCCTATTGCTAACCACAGACAGAGAAGTTTCCAGTATTAACACAGAGTACATATTTATAGCTCCACACACAGGCATTATACAGGTATATGAAGAACATTTTCAGAATTAGTAGAAAATAAACTTTGTTTGACACCTCACATGGCCCCCTTTGTACCAACTTTTGGGGCAAACACCCCCCACCCCCATGGGTGCAGCAGTGATCTGGCTGCTCCCCTTAAAATCTAGTAATGTGACAGGAGGACTGCTGGTTGGGGGCGTGCAGTCTTCTCGCTGGGATACCTGGCCCCACTCTACTTAGGACACATCTACACTGCATGGCTATTTCTGCACAGGGGGGGAGAGAGAGCTCATTGTTTTGAGCATTGACATGCTAAACCCAGGGTTATGAGTTCAATCCTTGCAGAACCCATTTGGGGATTTGGGGCAAAAATTTGTCAGGGATGGTACTTGGTCCTGCTGCAAAGGTAGTGGACTGGACTTGATGACCTTTCAAGGTCCCTTCCTCCTTTAGGAAATAGGCAAGCTCCACTAATTATTTCTAAATAATTTTTGAATGGCTGTGTGCATGCTCACATTGTTATTTCGAAATAACACTAGTTATCTTAAAATAATGGTGCAGTGTAGACACACTCCTCGTCTAAAGAATTAAAAAGCAAATAAATGAGTGTCATAAATAGGAGCTGCTAAGGAGAGTCTGACTTACCTGAATTGTGAGGAACAGGTTAAGCAACTGGAAATGCACCTGAGGAAGGGGGCACTGGCATTCAGCCAATAAAATACAGATGGGAATTTCAAACTGAGAGGGTGGGGGGATTCTTCTTCTCTTCTTTGTTTGAGATCAGGGCAGTTTTTTCCAGAAATGGAGGGAGACTGGCTTTCCCAGAAATGGACTTCTTGAAATGTGTAAGTAGGGAAAAGTTTAGATAGTCCATCCGGTTTTATTGTTTTATTTGTTTGGGGATTTGGAAATCATGTCTGAGCTGGTTAACTGTTTTTCTCTTTGTAACTAAGGATTATAACCCCGAGATTTCCCTTGAGTCTATTTCACTCCATGACTTTTTAACACACAGTCATTAACTATGCTTGCAACAGTAGTTTTGTTTTGATAATAAAAGTGTTGTCCTTATTGTTTTGATTAACTGGTATTAGTTGATTGTTGTGTCTTTAAGCCTACATGCCTAAATCATCTGGGAGGATTAGAGCCCATTTTTCTCTGCGGATTCCCTCTGTTTTCCCAACTCCAAGCAAAATGGAGGTTGGGGGGGGGGAGAGTTTTGCCTTAGGGAGGGGATTCCCACATGATCTTTTCCCTGAAAGAGGATTTATTTTATATTTATATTCTACTCACTTGGGTGGTGGTAGCGAGCGAATCAGTCTTTGTCTTTTTGTATCTCAGGGAGACTGAGACGAGACAAGTTTGTCTCTGGGAGTCACAGAGACAGGTTTTACAGAGTTTATTCTACCAGCTGGCTCCCCATCTCTGCACTCAAAGTGTCAAGTTAGGGAACTGAGCCGTGACAGAGAGGTTCTCATGTAGAAGGTGTACAACAACCACCAGCAGTGCTGCCTTCTGGTCAGATGGTGGTTAGTAGGATATCCTTGTTGAAGCAAATTCCTGTCCTTCAGAACCATTGTCCCAAGGATTTTCAGTCCTCCCCTGTAGCGTAGAGGCTTTGAAGGCTGGGCCCTTGAACAGTCAATATTTCCAGCTGTCCTCTTGTCAGAGATGAAGGCTGCTCTTGTTATATTTTCCACTCAGTGTTACAAAGCCACTGCCTCCATCCTGCTCTCCCCAGACCACTTCCTACAGCAGTCTCCATTGGCTTCCCAGACAAAATCACTCAGTCAAAGTTCTAACCCCACATTCCATCCCCTGCTTCGTTTTTGTGGATGAACAAGGCCTCATTGTCAGGCACTGGACAATGAGCTCCTTAGTAGTACTTTTTTCTTGAGTCAGCCACTGAACTTCTCTGTTCCCTCTTTCTAAAGCCCTGCCTCCAGCTTATGCAGGCTTTGCAGTTGTGTTTGGGTGGAAAGCTTAATGATTTATGCAATATGATCACCCCATTTGTATGCTTGTATCATTTTTTGCAGATAAATTTAGGAATATTGACCTGTGTATCATTTTTGTTGCTTAGGATCACTCCCTTTGCTGACGCTTCTGGGACTTGATGGCCAATCAGCGAGGATAATGGATTGTGAATAAGCTGGGCCTGCTGATTCATGGACTCTGGGGTGCTACAAAGTCAGGTGATCTGGTAACCTTATACTAACTAACCAACTATTTGGTCTGCTGACCTGTCTCACGGGAGGGTGGGGGGAATCAAACAAAGATTTCCCGTCTTTCAGAAATTCTATATAAGGCAGGAGAAGAAAATAATTATTGTCTTCAGCTTGCTTTACCTCTACCTCTCCACCCAAAAGAAATACTTGAAAGCAAAAGGACTGTAACTGAAGGGGCAGGGAGAAGAACTGGACCTAGGCCAAGAGACATCTAGCCTGTGAAGGACTTTACCTGAAATAAACCATTTTTAGTGAATCTAGCTTTGATTGCATGCTTTGTATTTTCTTAATCTGCTTTGTTCTGTTTGCTATCTCTTTTACCACTTAATAAACTTATTTCTGGTTTATAATATTGCCCACTTTATGTAATTCTAACTGGGGGCAGAGGAAAGAAGCTATACATTCCTTCCTTCACATTGAGGGAGCAAATTTCATTCAATTTGTGCTGGAGTAAATCCCTTTAGCTGAGTCCTGACAGAGCTGATCTCTGTATCTGAAGCTGAGAGTGGCCTTACTTGAGGATTTTGCTAGAAGAAGCTGAAAAGCCTGGCTCGGCAAGACCACAAGAAAGGAGATCCAGGTGTCAGAGAAGTGGGACTCAGCAGTGTCTAAGCATCTCAGATTACATCCTAGGGTTCCCAGTTGGTCCCAGGTACCTTCTTTGTGTTTTAGCAAATTTACAGCGAAAGTGTCCATGTGCTGAATCACCTTCAGGGACTGTTATAACATGAAATATGTGGCAGAATATGGTTAAAGGGGCATACAGTTCTCCCTTCAAGAAGTTCAGTCACAAATTTAATTAATACATTATTATTTTTAATAAGCGGCATCAGCATGGAAGCATGTTCTCTGGAATGGTGGCCAAAGCATGAATGGGCACATGAATGTTTAGCATATCTGGCATGTAAATACCTTGCAATGCCATCTACAAACGTGCCATATGAATGCAGTTCTCACTTTCAGGTGACATTGTAAATAAGAAGCAGATGGCATTGTCTTCAGTAAATGTAAACTTGTTTGTCTTAGCGATTGGTTGAACAAGAAGTAGGTCTGAGGGGACTTATGGGCTCTAAAGTTTTTTGCATTGTTTTGTTTTTGAGTGCTGCTATCTAACAAAATCTACATTTTATAAATTGCACTTTCACAATAAAGAGATTGCACTACAGTTATTGTATAAGATAAAATAAATGGTATATTTCACCTATCAATTTTACAGTATAAATATTTGTGATAAAATAATGTGAGCAGTGTACAGTTTGTATTCTTCATGTAGTTCAATATATTTGAAGATGTAGAAAAAGATCCAAAATATTTAATTTTCTATTGGTTTAACTGTGATTAAAACTGTGATTAATCATAATTAATTTTAAATCACTTTTTTTAGTCAATCGTGTGAGCTAACTGTGATTAATCAACAGTCATAGTAGATATTATTTTCATTTCACAGATGGGTAATTTGAGACATACTTAAGTGAAGTAGTCACCTTGTCTAAACCCATCCAGCAAGTCTCTTATGGTGTATATATACATTACATTGAAGCTGCTGCTGTCGATCTTCCAGGGTTTGAATTAGCGGGTTTAGTGAAGACACGCTAATTCAAACTGAGAAGGGCACTTGCGTCGATACCAGTCGTCCTGCTTCCACAAGGAGTAAGAGAAGTCAAAGGGAGAGTGTTCTTTCAACTTCCTGCAGTGTGGACAGCACCAAAAGTCGAGTTAAGGTACTTCGACTTCAGCTATGCAATTAATATAGCTGAAGTTGCGTATCTTAATTTAACCTTGTCCCAGAATATAGACATACCCTTATAGAATTTGGGAGAGACCTAGGAATGCCCTCAGTCTTGTAGACTTTCAACAACACACCCATTTTTACTGTTTCATTTGTTCCATTGTAAACACCAATTTTTCAGTCACTTTATGATTTTCTTTTTGCTAAAATTGTCCAGACTTGGTACCAGTCCAAAGATGAATGTTTTGGGAGATGCTAAACAAAAATATTTAGTCATCTCAGCTTTAACTTGAAACGTTTATATTGCAAGGCACTACCCATAAACTGCAATATCAGTGATACTTTATATATATTTAGCAGGTTACATTATTAAGTTCAAAGTAAATCTTGACTGATCTGAATTCAATGGGACATGGTGAACATTTATTAATTTAACTGGTTTTCCCCCCCATTGCTATTTCCCTCAGTCAACTGGTTAAAATGCTGCACTTAAGGGATGACATGGTATACATTTCATAAGGTGTTCTTTTTTTATTTTTATTTTCAGGGAGTCAGAAGACCCTACACTTGATGAAGTTAAGTGTCAGAGATGGACCAAAATGACAGTTGCAACAACTGTACTATTGATGACTTCAAGAAGATGGCTTATCCCACAATATATATCTCAGTATTTATCTTGGGCAGCTTTGGAAATGGCCTTTCCATATATGTTTTCCTGCAGCCTTACAAGAAAAAGACTTCAGTGAATGTTTTCATGCTGAACTTGGCTATTTCAGACTTTCTATTTGTGTGGACTTTGCCCCTCCGGGCTACCTACTACCTGATGAACTCTAGTTGGGTATTTGGGGATCTAGGTTGCAGGATTTTGTCTTATGCTTTGTATGTAAATATGTACAGCAGCATTTATTTTCTCACTGTGCTCAGCATTGTTCGTTTTGTGGCAATTGTTCATCCTTTCAAACATTGGAAACTAACTACCATCAAGTATTCTAGAATCATATGTGGGGTAATATGGGGTTTTGTGATGATATGTGCCAGCCGACTGCTGTTCTTGAAAGCCAAAGACATCAACAAATGCTTAGATCTGCAAGAAGGGAGCTCTGAGAAGATACGTGAGCTGAACTATATTGTCCTGGTAGTGGGTTTCATCCTCCCATTTTGCACAATAATTGTATGTTATGTGCTTGTGATCAAAGCTTTGCTGAAGCCCAGGGTTCCACAAGCAAAGATAAGAGCCCCTCATAAGAAGGCAGTGTCAACGATTGTCATCACTTTATCCTTGTTTCTGATTTGTTTCCTGCCATATCACATCCTGAGAACTATCTATTTGCAGGAATGGAGGAAGGATAATACATTTCAAGGGTGCAATTTTCTTCTGCATAAAGGGGCAGTGATCACTCTGTGCCTTGCAGCAATGAATAGCTGCCTAGATCCTATACTCTATTACTTTGCTGGAGAAAACTTCAAAGAGAGATTCAAAAATGTATATATAAAATGTAGCAGATGCAGAAACAAATAGCTATTCCTTACTGGGTATACTTTCTAGTGATCAAACCGCAGGCTGGGGTTTAAAGATCATGGGTCTTCAGAGTTACGTCACTGGCTTGCTACAACGCTGAGGTGAATCCCTTAACTCTGTTACCTTCATTTCCCTAACTGTAAAGCTGAGCTATTCAGAATGGATAGTGTCTCAGAACACCCTGTGAATTTTCTTCATAAATGATTGGAAAGGGGTCCATGATCCCATCCCGAGATCATGCCTATTTCTCTTCCACCTAGTACAAACCACCTCAAAGAAGCTTTTGCCATTTAAGAAACCCTCTTTTCTGGAGGACTTTGTTTATTGGTCCTGATAACATAAATCTTTAATTTTAGAAAACCGTCTAGGTCTGTAGTTTTGTCATCTTCAAACTCTCTTGATTTTCTCTCCCCAAAAACACTTACAAGCCTCTTGAGTTATTGATCAACCTGCTCCTCAAAGCTGATGTTACTGGTTCATCCCTCAGAGCTGCCTCTCCAGTGGTTACTCCCACCTTCAGAGCATAGTATGAGTGCTTTTCTATAATGTGATCTCTCTCTAGAAGCTACCTTTTTAATTGGAGGCCTTTTCTTTTCAATAACATGCTCCCACTGTCTGTCCTCCCCCTTTCACATCCAGGGAGCATCTTTAGACTGCATAGGCAGCCTTTTTTATAGGGACAAGTTCCTCCACCATCAACTGGACAATAAACCACTACTTAGAGTAACTAATTGCTCTCAGTTGGAGTTTTAGGGGGCTATTGTAGACTAGTTAAGCTTTGATTCACTTTGAAAGGGTACTTGCCCCGGAACAAAAGGGTGTGGAGAAATTTGAATGAAGAATATTATATGAATGCAACGTATTATATTCAGTAACTAGCACTGAGGTAGTTTATAAAAAATACAGAGAGTCAGGATTTTAAATATTTAACACTATAAATATTTCTGAATCTTTCATTATTCCAGATATATTTTGTCTAACAGCTTAACAAACGTAATGGTTTGAGTCCCAAAACAAACCATTTCTTTGTGACATTCTATAAAGAAATGTGAATATTAAATGAAGAGCAATAGTCACATGGACACACATAGTGCTTTGTAATTCTTATTACACATGTCACCATTTAGGTATTCCCGAAATGTTTTTATGCTTCATTTTCCTGGGAGTTAGGTGAAGAATTTGACAGTTTGCAGAAGCTGCCTACCTATAGGTAGGCAGCTGAATCCTTATTTAGGAGTCAAGAGCCAGACTTTTCAATTTAAGCATAGACAAGTGCCTAATGGGATTTTCAAAAACACCTGTGTGCTAAATTCTCATTTTTGAAAATCCACTAAACATCTATCTGCATCCTTAGGTATCTAAATATCTTTAAAACATTGGTATTTCCATATGAAAAATTAGGCTGGAGTATTAATTGGGGCCATGTAGAAAGATTTGACCACAAAAAACTATACTAGATTCTGCTCCTTTCTGAGCAAATATCAGAAATTTCCGGGTTGAAATTTGCCACATGTGTCATGAAAACAGCCTGTCATGTTCAAGACAAAACTGAATAAAGGTTTTTCCCTACCTCCCAACTCTCTTGATCTATTCAAAACAATTTCTGGCAGTGTGACTGTTTTCCCAGTACAGGAAACCCCCAACATGCGACCGCCCAAGTTCTGACTCCCCGAACTTACAACCATTTTTGTAAGTGTGGATGGGGCCAAAACCCCTCGACTTACATCCTCGGCCAGCATTTACGACAGTGCAAGGCGCCCATCATAAATGAGGGTTTGAGCTATGACGCCCCTGACTTGCAACACTTCTCTGGGAACCAATTGCGTCGCAAATTGGGGGCCACCTGTACACTATTCTTCACGGAATTAAGCATTATGAAAAAGAATATCATTGTTAAACAATAATAGCTTCAATCAGCTAATTTCAGCTCTATTTCAAACACAAGGGAAACAAATCATTGTAGTTTGTAGTCACATTTTTTTCAGATTTAGCAACAGTTCAATAATCAATCTGTTTCCATCATTTAAGCCACCTTTGGTAACAGCAGAGGGCTTTGTCATATTTCTCAGTTTATTAAATGTTTGTTTATAGAATATGTATCTCTGTATTTTTAATTAAATGTCTGTATGTTCTTATATCTCCAGTCACTAGCATCATTTATTGACTCCCAAAAACTTTATTTAGGGTTTGACCTTGTACTGTGAAGGGCAATGGGAGTTTTGCTGCATTGGGAGCAGGAAGAAGACCTTATGCTTTGTCTACATGGCAAGTTTTGTCAACAAAAACGGCCTTTTGCTGACAAAACAGTGAGTGTGTACAGTGAGGGATTGCTCAGTGGTTTGAGCATTGGCATCCTAAACCCTGGGTTGTGAGTTCAATCCTTAAGGAGCCCATGTAGGGATCTGGGACAAAATCTGTTAGGGATGGTACTTGGTCCTGCTGTGAAAGCTAGGGGACTGCACTTGACGACCTTTCAAGGTCCCTTCCAGTTCTAGGAGATAGGCATCTCCATTCATTTAATACAATGCAACTTCTGTTAGGAAAAACATCCAGTTTTGGTGACAAAAAACTTCCAGTCCCGCAAGAGACTTGTCTTTCCCCCTCCCTTTCTTATTGACAAAGAGCCATTGTAGACTCTGTTTGCTTTATCAAGAGAACTAGCTTCTGCTAGTATCCCACAATGCCTGCCCTGATGGCTCTTGTCAGTGTTTTGTGATCTCTGCTGCCTTGTAGGCATGCACACCTCCCCTTTCAAAATTCTGGGAAATATCTGACAGCTGAGTGAGCTGCTCCTTTTGGGGAACAAAGAGCAAATCATTAGAATACTTCTGTTCTGCCCTGCTAGAAACACAATAGCCAGCAGATTGCTGCTGCAGGGGGAGGGCTGGAGAGACTACTCTGTGGCTTTGACTTTCCTCAGCATGGAGAGTTTACAGAGCTACTCATGATGCTGCTCCAAGCTGCTGAGAATGCTGTCAGAGAACTCAGAGGGAATCCCAAGAAGCACAGGGGTCACCTCTACCTTCCCACAACACAGCACCCAAATTGTTTTGCTCTATCTGTTGATAAGGGAGCTAGCAATGTGGCCATGGTGGCTAAATTTACACTGCAAAAATGGCTATTTTTGCGCAAAAAGCTGTGGAGCATCCACACCTCAAGTGCACTTTTGCGTAAGTAAATCGGCAGTAAAATGGCAGAACAGGGCTTTTTCCAGTGTCGGTAAACCTCCTTCTACGAGGCATAACTCCATTTTGTGCTACAGCTATTGCACAAAAAGGCATGTGTGGATGCTCCAGATGGGTTTCCTGTGCAGGAAAAAAGCACAGGTGCTCTGATGGCCATTCTGTGAATGGCCATCAGAGCTTTCTTGTGCAAGAGTGTCCATGCAATGTGGACGCTCTCTTGCACAAAAGCACATCACTTTTGCGATATGCTTTGAGGTGTGGATGTATTTTTGCGCCAGAAGTTTTTGCACAAGAACTCTTCTGCAAAAGACTTCTTGCACAAAAACCTTGCAGTGTAGATATAGCTGAAGTGTCAACAATGGGAGGCAGAAAAAACAGCTCAACCGGTTTTCACTTTTGCCAACTTTTGCATGTCAACAGCACTTTTCTCGTCAAACCTTCCCAGTGTAGACATAGCCTTAGACTACTATGTGTGGGGATGGGGAAAACAACAACTATTTTATGGTCTTTTGGGGTGAATCAAGCTCTTCATGTGTGGATTCCCACTGAGCTCTGTGTTTGGGCTTACAGGACTGGACCCACGAACTAGCTAGACATATTTATAATTACATTCAAAAGTTTCTTGTGAATAATCTAACTTGTGTATAAAGGATTCCCATCTCCATATCAAAAGGCCCCTTTATAAGGTACTGATACATCTCAGTACAGTAGAATAAGTGGAGGGAATAATCAATAAACTGAGTGCCTAAAATGGTTGAATATTTGCTTTCGCGGGTAATCACATTGGGTTTATATCCCAATGCAGACTATTATGGCTGCTGTTCTTATATCTTCATAAAGAAGAATAAAATAAGCATATTCTTTACATATGGATATGCTATATGCTTTCCCACTTTTTTATTAACTTTAAGTGGTTGTTGAAAAGTTTGTATTGAACAAACTATTCAACACAGGTTGAATAACCAGGAGAAATATTTGTAAATTCCCGGGGACAGGATCAAGTACGTCCTTGACAGATGGCACATAGTAACAGTTGAAGTAACAGTGAAATGGTTTTTAAAAGCATAACAATGGAATTTCATGAATCTGATCAATAAGATGATCAGGAACATTAATTAAGAAATTCAGAACATTTAAAAATGAAAATATTCCTTTTACAGTACGGGTTTGTTTGAGTTATAGGAAAGATCAAACTCATCCTTACAGAGTGTTGGCTGCAAATTTAATTGAGTAAACATACCGGTATAATAAACAACACTTACAAACAGAGTTAAGTCTAAAGATTCCATCTGCTATTTTCAAGAGCACACTTCTCTTTCACAGGAGATTAAGAAAACTGTTCTTTGTTTTAGAACAGGAGTGGGAAACCTAAGCCCGGAGCCAGATTCAGTCCCTGGGTTGCCTGGATCTGGCTGCCAAAGATTAGGGCCTCGCCCACTACTGGGGAGCCTCCACGGGCACTCCAGCCTCTCCCCACTGCCTCCCCACAGCTCCCAGCCCCCAGCTGATTTTTCTGTGGGTCAGCGGTCCCCGACCCAAACAACAGTTCCCCACCTCTGCTGTGGAAGGACCTCATGTTTTTTCTAAGACAGAAATGATCAAAGGAAATCAGTGTATTCCACGCACATTGTGCCTTATCTTGTTTCTAGTTAAATTGACCCCCTCCAATCATCTAGGGTATGTCTACACTACCCCGCTAGTGCGAACTAGCGGGGGAGTGTAGACATACCCCTATATAGTAGCCCAATATTTGTGACTCTGTAACGCTGAAATGCTGGCTGTTTCCTCTGGGCGGGGTTGTTGCCTCCCGCCATGGCGCTCAGAGGAAACAGCCAGCATTTCAGCGTTACAGAGTCACAAATATTGGGCTACTATATAGGGGTATGTCTACACTCCCCCGCTAGTTCGCACTAGCGGGGGAGTGTAGACATACCCCTATATAGTAGCCCAATATTTGTGACTCTGTAACGCTGAAATGCTGGCTGTTTCCTCTGGGCGGGGTTGTTGCCTCCCGCCATGGCGCTCAGAGGAAACAGCCAGCATTTCAGCGTTACAGAGTCACAAATATTGGGCTACTATATAGGGGTATGTCTACACTCCCCCGCTAGTTCGCACTAGCGGGGGAGTGTAGACATACCCCTATATAGTAGCCCAATATTTGTGACTCTGTAACGCTGAAATGCTGGCTGTTTCCTCTGGGCGGGGTTGTTGCCTCCCGCCATGGCGCTCAGCTGACTTCTGTGCCAGTCAGCCGGGCCGCTGTGCAGGAGCAAGCAGCACGAGTGGCCATTTGGGCCCCCCCACTTCCCATGCAGCACCCCCATGCTGCATGAAGAGTGTGGATCCCGAACAGCCACTTATGCTGCTTGCTCCCGGGCTGACTGGCACAGAAGTCAGCTGAGCGCCATGGCGGGAGGCAACAGCGCCGCCCAGAGGAAACAGCCAGGGGGCGGGGCCTGGACAAGTGTGCCTCTCTGACATCAGGAAAGGGCGCCGGATTCAAAAGGAGGAAAGCGGAGCAGACACAGAGGACATGGACAAGACAGAGAGGAGAACGGAGGAGGCGGAGGACAGCAAGAGAGAGAGTGAAAGAAATGCAGCAGCAGGAGGAGGAGAAGAGAAACACAGAGTGAGAGGCGGGAGAGGGAGAAGAGAAAGAGAGAGAGACGGAGAGAGAGGCAGGAGGTGGACGAGAGCTGAGAGAGAGAGAGAGAGGGCGACGCAGTAGGAGGAGGAGAGAGGCCGTTTGTGTTGCTTGCTCCCGCGCGGCAGCCCGGCTGAGCGGCACAGAAGTCAGCTCAGCACGACAGCAAGAGGCGAAGGGGGGCAGGGTGGTCACGTATATGCCCAGGGGGCGGGGCCTGGACGAGCGTGCATCCCCGACGGAGACAGAGGAGAGCGGAGAGAGAGTAAAAGGTAGGGGGGGAGAAGAGAAAGAGAGAGACGGAGCGGAGAGAGGGAGAGATGGAGCGAGAGACCGGAGGCTCAGGAGAGAAGACCAATGTGGAGGAGAGACCTGAAAATCCCGTCTTATGACAGGCTAATTGGCTAGTATATCAATAGTATGCAAGAAAAATTGTTGCTATTTGCTCAATCCTAACCTATTTTTTTAAGCACACAAGGTTCTAGAAGATCTAATGCTATGGAAAATGTAAAGACGTTATAACCTAGAGGGAAACAAAAATAACAGACAAATCATTCGAAATTTGATTTTTTTCTTTAAAAAAATTATAATTTAAAACAAACTGATGGGCTTTCTGCAAACTTGGAGAAATCTGTCCTTTTATCATCACAATAAACCTAACTATTTTCAGATTAAAACTGAAATGTTTTATTTTTTATTTTTTATATATTTTTAAAAATATTGGTAATATAGCCATCGAACCAGGAGATCGCGTTGACCTTCCGAAAATTTATACAAAACCGAATTGACCCATCCGGTTTTGGGACCAGGACAATGGAGCTGCGCCAGTCGCTATGCAATTCCTTTATCACCCCCAGCTGCAGCATTTTCTGGACCTCATTCCTCACTGTGTCCCACATTTTCCTCGGGAGGGGGCGTACCGACTCGCAGACCCTGCATCCGGGCTTGGTGGCCACGTGGTGGCTTATCCACCTGGTTTGCCCGCGCACCACCTTCACCACCAAGCTGAACTCTTGGAGCAGCTCTCGTACCTCCTGTTTTTGAGCTAGTGTGAGGTCCAACCCTAAATCTAGGGCTCGGGCGGTCTCCAGGTCCACGGCCCACGATCCCATGTTGATAGGCCGCAGCTGCAGGTCCAAGAATAGACTTTCTCTTGGATTCCATCCACCTTTTTAACAATTAACGTGGTAAACCTGGGTACCCCTTCTCTTCCCAACCAACCGAACTTTGTAGTCCACGGCCCCCACCTTACAAACGACCTCGAAAGGCTCTTGCCACATTGCAAGGAGTTTAGATTCACTGGAGGGCAGGAGAAGGAGGACTTTGTCCCCCGGCTTAAACTCTCATACTTGGGCGTCTCGGTTATAGTAAAAGGCTTGCCTGTCCTGTGCCTGTAGCAGGTTTGCTTTAGCAAATTCCCGGAGCTGACGTAACTTCTCTCTAAGGTGCAGGACATATGACCCCGTCCCCTGAACCCG